CTCCCCGTGCGCGCTGGTCAAAACGCTGCAGATCGGTGGGGTGACGTGTGTGTGGTGGGAGGCAGGGGCTGATGCCACAGCGTGGCCCTTGCCAGATGTATGTTGAGCCAAAACAAAATAATCAGATAGCGTGGAAGCACATGCCTTGGTATATTAAATGTGTTTATGCTCTTTATGCAGACCACTGGGCTTGTAGGCTTGGCTGTAGCTGAAAACCCTCATGAGGTATGTCACGCGTCTTGTTCTGTATTTAATGGAAGTTGCCAGCGAGATCAAAGGTTTTTGCTATGTATTTGCATATGTAGGTATGCTGTGTACCTTAAAGCGGTGCCAACTTAATGAAAGTGTAAAAATGTTCCAAAGTGATAAGGGAAGAAGGTTAATTCTTAAAAGGTTTAATTCATATCATTGGGAGTTATTTTGCACATGTACTTTTCTGTTGCATGTGCTGATTTCAAAAACCTTCTTTGTGTAAGTACTTTTAGGAACCCATATTTGATTTTTCTCATCTCCATTGCAAAAACAAAGAACTCTTTAAATTCAGTTCTTCATAAATGTAATTTCTGCTTCGCAGGCATACAGATGTCTGCTGCCTTGCTGCGTTGTGTTTCCAGCAAGTACTGAAATAACTTACAGCTATACTAAGGGGTTACACTAGTCTTACATGATAGAGGCTAACCATGTGGTGCAAAGCCACATCAAGGCCCTGTGACGGCAAGCACTGTTGAGACTGGAATACTAAAGTGGTTCTTGGGAACCACGTTAGGTGGTTCTTGTAGCGATTTGGTACTTTCTTTTCACCTCCTCAAGCTCAGTAATGAAAGTATGTTTGCCACATCTTGCTTGCTTATTCAGGAGGCATGAGCTTTGAAAGGACTTCAGTAATGCCACAGTTTGTCAGCTTTGAAATTTCCCACTATGCAATGATTCTATTTGAAAAATGCTTTTACCACCAATAGTTAGGAATACTGTCATAAAGAACCATTGAAAAAAATCATTACTGTTCTGTACAAATGGTTCTAGCTGAGTCTACAGCCTTGTCAGGTGCCTTCTGGGTGAACTTACTACATTTTAGGTTTTTTTCAGTGACTTAAAGCCAAAAGTCAAGAAATCAACAATGCTTTAGTTGGAAGTATAGATTCTGTGCCAGTCCCCTTTCGTTTCCTGGTTTTTCTTTGTATTTCTTTGACTGCAGTGTTCTGCTTCTGTTTCTTACTGTTCCTGTTGGACATCCATTCCTCTTCAGTTAGATACAGTTGCCCAGCCAACATATGGCCCAAAAGTTGCAATTTCTTCACCCCAATGTGTCTTTTATCACTGTGTTTAAATCCAGCAATAAAAGTTTCAGGTTTTAGTTTAATTTAAATCTGTCTGTCACTCAGAACTTTGCACCAGCATGAGAAGTGCCAAAAGAAAATATAATCTCGTTATGCTTTGGTAGCTTATGTGCTTCTTTGTATCTTTCCGAGGTAATTTGTCAGAAACTGATGGGTTAGATGTGAATTTGCCTCACTTTTAAAAAGTATGGTTAGTATTAGAAACACAGCTTTTATTGTTTCCATTTTGCATCAAATGTACTTCAGATTGCAATTTTTTTTTTCTTTTTTATCTTTGAGGAATCTGACAGTGGTAATTTACCAGTCCTGATAAATCCCAGTCTGACCCAAGACAGAGTTCTGTGGTTCAGACTTACTTTGTTAATCCTACATTTCTGAATTGAATACCATAACCCTCTATGTTTTGTGTATAGATAGTTAGCTAGTAGGTTAAGTAGGACAAGAAGTTAAATAATTCTAGTTGTATATTTTAACCATGTCTTGTGATCACGTCAGCGCCTGCGAATACTGTACACAAAAATCCTTGGTGTCCTGCAGACCATTCCCAAAGATGCAGCATATAGGAAATACACTGAGCAGATTGTAAATCAGCGATTTAATTTGGTGCAAACGGTAAGTGCAGTGCTGTTTCATAAATGTTACACACAAAAAGATTTTTAGGATGAGAAGAATGATTTTCAAAATGACTGTTTTTCAGGAGTATATGTAACTTTCAGGTGTCAGTTCAGAAATAACTGAAGTCTTGAGGTTTATTTTTGTTACTGACTGCAATATTTTGATGGTCTATTAAAGAGTTGTTAATTTCTTATGTTTTCTGTGAAAATTAGAAGAAAACGTAGTTTTCTGAAGATTCATAGAACAGCAGTAATTTCTACACACTTGCACAAAAAATGCACTTGCTGTTATCAATGTAGGATCTTAGCACAATCCTTGCTTTTGATGTTTTAAAACACTTTTTGGTACATTAAACTATGCAATACTGGTATTATGTATTTAAGGTGATAATTGGAAGGTTCCATGTCATTTTATAAAAAGATAAGATAAAAATCTTCTTTCAAGATCGATACTAAAGCCCTTAGCTGCTAATTAATGGATGTCATTAAATAGTATTCATTTTTTGTATTTATCATTGAGAGTTTGATGATGATATCCAATAAGAAAAGTGTGTGAGATTTCTTTGATAATGTCAAATAAGAGAAGCGAGCTACTTTGATGGTAGTTTTGAGGAAGACTAGAGTATGATCTGGTTAAATTACTGGTTTTATGCTTTATCTGGGCTTTCTACTTCTCAGTAAAACTAAACATTTGTTCATATGTATTTAAATACACAGGAGACTGATGTGCAAAAACTAGAGGACAAACTGAATAGTGGTCACATAGAAGAAGTCATTGTACAGGTAAGGCGGGCAAATTTAAGGTTAGGTTCAAAAGGGAGCAGCAGTTTTCAGCATTCCTTTGACTGAGCTCCTGTTCAGTTTTCAAACTGGCAGTTTTCCATATCTTCCTTTGCTGCAAAACAAACAGTCAAACAGGGGGAAAAAATCTGAAAATGAATTGTCATATAGCAATTGGGATGACTATAAAACCTAACACAATTAGATGTTTGCTGTATTATGCTTACATATATACCATGTGTACTTCCATTGCTTCTTGCAGAGTCTAAATCAGTGGAAAGGGTGGAAGATGATTGAATAATATTGGGGGATAATCCAGATAGACTGGAAAATATCATGAAGTCATCATTGGGAATGACTAGGTGAACAGACTGTCTGTTTGGGTATTTGGAGGTGATTCAGTATGGTTTTTTCAAACAAAAATCAAAATTCCCAAAACAGAGTTCCTTTTGATATTTATAGATGAAATTTGTGGTAGTCCCTGACCATGATAGGTAGTAACATCACCGAGGTAATGAACTAAAATAGAGGTAATTTAATACTTTGGCAATTGTGTAGAATTTAAGAATTTGTGTGTGGTGTTTATTAACAGGCTGAAAATGAGCTTTCCCTGGCAAGAAAAATGATACAGTGGAAACCATGGGAGCCGCTAGTTGAAGAACCTCCTTCTGACCAGTGGAGATGGCCAATATAATTTTCAAAATGGTGTAACCTCTTGAAAGTGTAAAAAAAAAAAAAAAAAAAATTAATTATTAATCTATTGTTACTGACAGTTGTCTTTAATTTAAAGATAATAACTTCATAACCATGTTTTGTCCTAATGTCCACTAATCTAATGTCCAGTAATCTAAAGACTGTTTCCAATTTCTTGCACAAAGGGTTTTAAGAAAATTCTTCAGCTGTTGTACCACCTTTGGTTTATTTCCTTTTGTAATTTATTATTAACAGGGTATTTGTGCCTCGTTCTCAGTTATTTTTATAATCTGTATGTTAACAAATACAGATATTACAGGCCTTTTGAAATCAAAATCAAAGTTGTAGAAAAGTATGATCCTGCCTTTCTCTCCCACCTTTGGTTGTGTATTTTTGCCAGCCGCTGCCAATGCCTTTATGAGCGTGCAGATACTGAGACCAGGGGTCTGATGTAACAAAAACTAGGCTTACCAAAAATAACAGTTTTTTAGATTTCAGGTGAATCACTGTCTTGAACTGGCTGACTTTGCCCACATAAACACTAATTCTGACTCGGGGGAAGTGCTGGCAAGACCCAAGAGTGGAGAGGTGAGGGAGAGAAGGAAGACTACCCCGTAAGGAACAGGTGTCTTGGTTAGCAGGTAGGTTACCACGCTTAGCATAATACACAGGGCACAAACTTTAGTATTGGAGTCTTATAAAGGCTTTGTGTATAAACATGTATACTTCATAGATTTACTTGTATATTACTGATTCAGACCTTGAATATTACTTAGCAATATGAAAAAAAATAGTGGATCTTTCTTGACGCATCTGGGTAGGTTCTTTCAAACATCTAAATGGAAACAGTGGATGCCTCTTCTGAAAAGTTTTGTTTACAGATTTAAGCTTATGACCCCCAACTAAAATACCCAAACTAGATCTGAGGATACTGTGCAAGTTTGCCTTTACTCACATTTTTTCAGTACTGTTAATAAAGTTCTTGCAAGTTTAAAGATAACAATACAGCTGTATGGCAAAAATCTGCGGTTTGTTAAGCGTTTAGGATAGAGTGCTGCTGCACTACATTACATAACATACTTTGTCATAGCTGTTTTTTCATAGTTATTAGACCTATAAGTTGTGACATCATTATTATTAATGATTAATTACATCTTTATATAATATTTCATACAATCAAGGTATTAGGGGAGTAGGATAGTGGAAGAGAGAAACAGTAAGTATACGTAGGGTATTGACTCTAGCAACTGTTTTCACTGCATTCACTGCAACTATTATTACTATACTTACAGAAGTTTTTAGATTTTTGAAAATTTAAAAAGTGAAAAGTATTTTGCTTCATTGGTTGAAGGCTTTTTCAGTCTTGAAAAAGGTAGAAGTTGGTGTCTTCTGAGATAAAACCACTAGATGGCATTCCAGAAGAGGACTTTGCTAAAGTTAACAAACACAATTTTCACATGAGAAATATTAAAGGATTATAAACTTGAACGGGGGTGAACAATGTCAGATGAGAAATGAAGATGAATGGTTTTAGGTAGTAAGTATTGAGCTGATGTGAGAGGAAGAAAAATAAAAAGTAAACAAAACCCCCCAAAGTCTAATATGAATGATATTGGCATGCAATACTTGGGGGGTGGGGGGGGAGGGAACACACGACACGAAGTTGCCAGACTATGGTGGCAACTATTGGAATTCTTTCTACTCTTTCATAACTGAGACATTAGTTGAACTCTCTTTTTGCTCACTTATTTTCTCCACTTCTAAAGCCATATTTGTCGTGGGGCTTACAATAGCTCTCCTAAAAGCTCACGAGTTCTGTTGCAGGGGAGAGGAAGTCTCTTTTTGGTCCATTGCTGCTGAAATTTGATATCTGTTCTTTTAAAACTGAGTTTGTCTGATCAAAGGTGTACTTGCATCTTCTTCCTTTCACAAATGCACAAATACATCCTCAGTACAGACACTAATATAAGTTGAGGGGATTTTTTTTTTTTTTAAGAGCTGTAGCTCCTAATGTATATTCTCAGTGATTTTTCTGGTCTATAAGTGTTTCTTTCATGTGTCTCAAAATAGGATCATTTTCTCAATCTTTCTATCCAAAATACTGGATTAGCCTTCACAAATGCTTTAATTCAGGAATCAATTAACTTGAGTCTTAAAAAGGTTCTACTGAAGCCAACTCTAGGAATTGTTAATAAGGAATTTTCAGCTTTCTCAGCTTTTTATCAAATTCTCAGAATGTGTTACAACTTCATTATTTTATCATTGGTTAAATTTGGTTTCATTATCTTAACATAAATTAATCATCTGCTACATAAGATTACTAAATTAGTATTATGTTATAGCATCAACTTTAAATAGCAGTTACTGAGAACAAAGGGAGGAAAGAAATGGATTGCAGTTTTGAGATGTAACGGTGGATGCCTTTTGTACAGTGTTGTGTAGCTCACGTCATCCTTGTTCCTGGCTAATTTAAAAATACATCTTAGCTAAGAAGAGAAACAGTAATTTTTACCTTGCTATTAACTGTGTAACTATATATATCTAATATTTAAATCCACACTGTAGCAACAAAATGTATTTTACAGGCAAGAGAAAATCTATATTAGGAGTTCTGTGCTGCAAATAATTTATTTTAAGATGAATATGCTAGCAAGGCATAATTTGGAGACTGACTGTAATGATTTTGTCCCCCCCCCCCCCTTAACTGTGTTGGAAATACATGATGATGCAAAAGATTTTATCATTATCTGCTACAATATGGTAAGGTACCTCACCGCAAGTCTTAGAGTTAACAAACTTTAGATCTTTAAAACACTTTGAGATTGTCTGCTTGAAGTCATTATGCGAGTGAAAATGACCCTATCTGCAAGGATGGCAACTAATAGAGACACAGCCTGCTAAACCAGAAAAACAGCTTTCAACAAATTGCCAGGTAGCAGCAGCACTGAGGTTTTTGTTATTCCCAACCTGCTATCTGTGCTGCTTAACCTGTTTTGAGTGGCTGTGTTCTGAACAGGACACCGTTTTCATCTTTGACATAATTTCTGATTGTATTAAAAGGGGGGGTGAGTGAAAGCTGCTTTTTTTTTTATTATTATTTACAACATACATGCTATTTCATTAGGAAAAAAAAATCATCTTGCAAACTGAAAATGAGTTTGAACGTTTAACCAAGTTGACTACATAATGACACAAAATAACATAGCTTTCTGTAGAGTTACTGCTGGTCCTATTCTACCCTGAGTTCAAGCTCAATCCAGGTTTTAGAAAAAAGAGCATTAACAGTAGTAATGGGAAATTTCTGTCCTTTTGGTGGGAAGCAGGTCCATGTTCAAATGCCTAACAATGTCCGTGAAAGATGGTAACTGATCGTGGCATACTGATACTGAATATGGATATACTGCTGAAAGATAACTTTTTTTCAGGATTCTCCCACAGTTGTGACACAGAAATGGATATTTCACCTCGGCTGTGGATGTCATTTACCTGGACTTTAGCAAAGCTTTT